TTTTATTGATTTTTTACAGAGAGGAAGGGAGAGGGATAGAGAGTTAGAAACATCGATGAGAGAGAAACATCGATCAGCTGCCTCCTGCACACTCCCTACTGGGGATGTGCCCGCAACCAAGGTACATGCCCTTGACTGGAATCGAACCTGGGACCCTTGAGTCCACAGGCCGATGCTCTATCCATTGAGCCAAACCGGTTAGGGCTATTGCACACTTTTTAAACAGAAACATTTCTATCCACATAAGGAGAGTGAAGAGAAAACTCACCCAGGTTCGTATCACATTGACATAACGACGCTTCTCCCTTTTGTGTGTTTCTCTCTTTTGTTAGTAATTATACCTCCACCTGCCATTGAACCGTCCTGTCCTCCCGAGGGCTGTTCCGGACCGCTCCGAGAAGGCAGCTTGGCAGAGCACTTGGTGTTTGGAAAAGGCTAGAAGTTACCAGGAAACAGGTCTGATAAATCAAGTGAAGGGATAGAAAGGAACCCCCTATAAAGTAACATGACGCTTTATTGCCTGGGTTATAAACGGGTCCTGAGGTGTTTCGCACAGCAGCTTCCAAGATGATCTGGGCCACACAGTGAGCGGCACGGGATTAACTGCACAGCCTCGCAGGGGGGTGTCTGCGAGGAGGACAATGCTCATTCGGAACTACTTGGTTTAGTAGGCTTTAAAATAAAGGTACAAAGAATCAAATTAAAAGTGACTTGTAAATGTCTTGTTCCTTTGGGAACCACTGAGGCCAGGCCTGGTTAAGGGCTGCATCCTCCAGGTGCTCAGCCAGGGCTGTTCTCCGAGGAGACCGGAGACGGGCAAGGGAAGGCGGTATTGCAGAAGGGTCTGCCTCAGTCAGTCCCTATGGGGCCACAGCTGCTCCCAGCCAGGGAGCGGGGGAAGGGCGAGGAGAAGGTGCTCTGATCTCAGCCACTGGTTTAGTTAATAATGACAGACCTTGCATCTGTGTGGTCCTTTGGGAGCCTTTTACCTCTCCTTTCTTTTCACCCTCTTCCAGGACCCCTTTGCTCTAAGTCTCTGCCAGCCCCTGTCCCTGACCCCAGGAGATAGCAGGCTCTGCTTAGGGAGAGCAGAACCCCGGAAGCTACAAAGACAACCTCACCGACCCCATTTCCTTCCCTCATCTTGCATCCGAGCCCCTGAAAGGAACCACAGATTTTACTACGTTCCCTCTCTGTACATGAGCAGAAAGTATGTATTTATTTTCCACATGGCCTTAAAAACCGCATCTTTTCCTTATGTACACACACACACACACACACACACACACACACGCACTCTCGCACTCGCGCACACCCTCTCTGTTCCATCAATATCAGCCTTTTCTAGATCACTTCCTTTCTCTTCCTGAGAAGCTGCCCTCCCTCCCATCGGGGCTCCAGGGGGCTTTTATTTTCAGCTCTCCATCAATCAAGGGGAGGGGGAAACACTTGCTCTGAACCCTTGGTGAGCAGTAGCAGCCACTAGCAGCTGCCAGGGCGGGGGGAACTTCATTTCCGGCTCTGACTTTTATAAATGTGGCACCGAATACCAGTAGGGATTGGAATAAATCAAACAGCTTCTCCCAAGGTTCCCAGGGGCTGCTTTAGAATTTCTTCCCATAGGGGGGTTATGTTCCTTCTTTCCTTTACAAGGGGTGTGGGGGGGGGGGGGTGGGGAATGCTGTTATTTGCAACATGGAATGAACCACATTCTTGCCCATAAAAGCACTGAGCTAGGGCCCAGGATGCTCTGGAGTGAGAGCATGAGGCCTGTCTCTGGCTGTGGACAACGGCTTGGGTGTGAAAGCCTGGGTGGGGGTTGGAATGTTGGCTCTGTCGCTCACCAGCTATCGGTTTTCTCATCTGCAAAATGGGGATAAAAATGCCTGCCCTGTCCTCCCAGGGTTCTTGCGAAGATAGAATGAGAGGTCTATAAATTGAGTGCCCTGAAACCTTTGGTAAGCGTATGTAACGTGGTGAGGGGTTATTAAGGAGCAATGATAAGGACCAGGGTTGTCCAGATCCCCGGGGTGTCCAGAAACCTTTGTGGATGGACTCCAGGTAGACCTCCCCCACCCCATTCAACCAACCTCAGCTTTTTCCTTTCCTTCAAGAATCTGGGCAGGGAGCACTGACAATCTGTTCCAAAAATAACTGGACTCTTCCCAATGTCTTTTCTAAGCTTTTCTTCCCTTCTTCTGCCCCTCCAAATATTGAGAAAATAAAGATGGGCAAGTATGATAAGTGGAGGGAGAGAGAGAGAGAGAGAGAGCTGCCAAGGTTGAGGCAGGAAGCAGAGAGCCGTTGCCAAGTATCCATGCAGCAAGCGTGGCCTGGATACTCTCAAGGTTCTGTGCAAGAACCCTGCGCGGTGATACGAGGTCCAGCGTGGGCCCTGCAATCCCACTCCCTTCTGTTCCCTAAATTTTCAGATGCCGCACACCACCGTTCCCCTGCTTTCTGTGGATTTCATCCTACTCAGGCCCAGACCCCCCCTGTGGTGGGGAGCTTAGGTGTGGGCAGGATGCCGACATGCCGAGTCTACCCCTGAAGCCCCTCAGGATAGCAATTATCTGTCCAGTGCTTTCTTCTAGGCCTTTTTCTACATGTAACGAGATTCCACCCAGCATCGCTCCCCAGAGGTGACTTGTGTTGCCAGTTTCTTGCTACCCTTCTGGAGAGAAAACGGATTTCATTTAAATATTTGTTCAGCACTTTATTTAAAGAGATTAGGCGCTGCCATGAGGAAGGATGAACAGAAGACCACATTGCTCTATTGTTCTGAGCAATTCAGCTTTGGTGGGCAATTGCATGCTCCATCCTTGAAAGCAAAGGCCGTGCAGCAGGCAGGGCCCACCCTCAGCCGAAGGCAGTTAACCTTGGTGGTGGTGGTCGGGGTGTCACAGCCTACACCTGCATCTTATCAAAACACTCATGCCTCCTTTTAAACAAATATAGTAATTCCCTAAAAAGCATCTCATCAGGAAAATTTCCTTCGATCTTTTTGCAACTCATGATGATGCTTTAGGGCCCTATGTATCCTGGCCCTTTAGCGAAAACCTGGCTGGTCCACCCCTAAATCTGGTTCCCAAGGTGGCTGTTATGAGATTCCCATTCCTACTGCCCTCTAAGGGAGGTGGTCATTCTTGTTGACAATTGGCATTTCTGTCCCCCCCCCCCTTTGTATGTTAGGAGGAAGGTTACAGGGGAGTGTAAATGGAGGACGTACCGGAGAGCTGATGGATTTGGGGTACGAATAATCCGATTGCAACTGAAGTAGGAAGCCTAATAACGGCAGGTTGAGTTATTTGGACCAACTATCCCAGTGAAAACAACTGAAAGTGCTAGATAATATATCAAAAACATCGTAAAAGCCCCAAAGAGTTGATAAATAGCAAGGGATTTCCAGGCCAACACGGAAGAGAAGACCAGAGCATGGAAACCACTTAACAAACCTGAACTTACATTCTGATCACCTGGAACAAGGAGGGGCTTAGCAATTCAAGCGCAGGCCCTGAACAGGGTGGAGAGACTAATGGAAGATCCTCCCCTCAATACACCGAGATCCCAAAGGGTTGCACCGTCAGGGTCCCGGGGACGCAGAGATACAGTGTGGGTCCAGCAGCAAAGGTGTCTGGGAAATGCTGGACTTGCTGTTTAACCTTCTGTGACTGTTTAACTCTCTGTAGCCCCAGATGTGGCTGGCTACCCAGAAAACTGGAATGCCGCCCAAAGATAAACGTCTTCCCCCCAGGAAGGAGGTTAATGAATGTACAGCGCGTGATGACTGCCTGAATCTGTTAACTGAGGAAGGCGTTGTTCTTTCTGGTGATCTATGTGACTACCCACCATATCATTTTACGATTAACCCCCTATTAAAAAGAGACCCTGTCCTGGGAGAGGTGTGGATAATTCCCGGCCGGCCACCCCTGGGAGCGCAGCGGCTTTGCCCGTCTATGTTAAGTTTCTCCTACTAAAGCTCATGAATTTGAATAAGGCTACGAGTCAGTTCTTTGGAATCGATCCTGAATTTAGACGTTTGGGGCTTTCCCCCAACCACCATCCCAGGTTCACGTTGCCTGGGTGGTCCAGGGAACTCAATTTAGAGAGCTCGGGACTGGTGGTGCCCCCGTAAGCACAATCATCTCTCGAGGGAGGCCCCTTCGTACTCAAATAATTGCCATATATTTGTTCCCAGAGCAGGGTGAGAGATAGCCACGCACACAGGAAAATAAGGCTCCGTGAGTCAGAATGATAGAAACCAGAGACAAATGAAAAACAGCTGAGAAGATTTCACCCCTCAGAACGATCAGAACAGGCTATAAACAAACATGCTTACTGTGGCCAAAGAAATAAAAGACAAGCTTGGAAATATTTGCAGGGAATAAGAAATGATGTAAGGTGACAAAATGGACTGAAAAAAAGGTAACGATCCTAAAATTTTTTTAAAAAATCCACTGTAGCTGCAATTAAAACTCAACTTATTAATTTAAAAGCAGCCGAGATGCGGTGGAATAGAGAATTAGCAAAGTAAAAGATAATAGTGAGACATTACCCAGAATGCAGCACGGAGAGACATAAAAGGGGAGGACAATGGAGAAGATAGGAGATACAGTGGATGCAGGCCTAATGCATCTTTAATGAACGTCCCAGAAAGAGAGGAAAGAACAAATAGGGCAGAGGCAAATATTTGAGGAGAGATAATGGCTGAGAGTTCCCCAGAACTCATGGAAGACACTGGCTCACAGATTCATTCAAGAGGTTGGTAAATCCCAACCTTGAAAGTCCTGCCTAAGCCAGCAGCCAGCTGAGACAGGAGAGAGGGGCACCGCTGAGAGCTGCCCTCCCAGCCCCGCAGGCTAAACGTCCCATAAAAGCCCCCGATAGGAGAAAGAGCACTAAGCTTCTCACTAAGAAGCAGAGCCAAGTGGCTTTGGTGCCCGAGACTCCCCGCCCCCCTTTCCCTTCCTCCTTCCTCCACCGCCTGGAGGCCTCTCCCCCCATCAGGCCCCTGTTTCCTCCCACTTATCGGCAAAGGCCTTCCCTCAAATCTCTCTTTCTCTACTTCAAGGGAAGGAGGGGCGCCCAAGACAGAAACAGAAGAAACAACAGAAGAGTAAGAACCAGGGAGGAAGCAGAGGAAGAGATGAGTCTTGCAGGCGTGTGGCTCAGGAGACGGCCAGACCGGCTGTGGGGGCCAGTCTGCAGAAAACGGGAACGGGAGATGACTTAGAGAGGCTGATATCCGGAATTCTGCTTCCCTTCCCTCTCTCCTTTCCCTCTGGCTTTCCTCCGATTCTCTGCCTCCATGCCCCTGTGCCTGGCAGTATGGTGGTGTGCAGTGTGGTGTCTGCATTCCCTAGCAAACAGCAGCATCAGTGGCCAGGCTGCGGACATAGCAGGGGGAGCACCACATGTACTTTAAAACCCGAGAGCACCAGAGAGCAAATCCCTGGAGTTAATCTTCCTGCACGCTACTGAATTTGGGCTGTCATTCGTCACCTGTCAAGCCAGCCCAATCCACGGGGAAGGTATTTACTTCTCCTGCCCCCGAGTCTCACTCCTCCCCACATTTCCTCACCCCAGAGTGTCCTGAAATCCAGGCTATG